ACAAGCTGTAATGCGTTCATTATGTTCGTTTTCACACAAAACTGAAGAATTTATTTAGTTACGGTACCAGATGTGCGCTACGAAACTCATTTTCTGGGCGTTTTCATGGCTTCGTCTCACGGCCCATATCCGTGGTAAGGATCTACAAGTGTTTAATAACTTACTTATACATTTTTCAACAACGTCTTAGCATAACTTAACTAATAATAACTAAACAGGGCTATGGAAAGCCTGCCCAACTCAGCGCAAGGTCGAGCAGTAATAACTAATATTCATCCGCTCGCTAACAGCTGGTTTAATTCAATTGTTACGTCATGCAGAAGTCATTGTTCCATGCCGAAAATGTAGAGAATATAGGACAGATCGTAGCACATATTTCTTGTAGTAAAAGCGTCTTTTCCGTAAAACGTGCAACTTTTGGAAGTGGGAACAAGGCAATATTTGTTACTAAATTTTTAAGGAACATTTTAAAATCATTTTCAGGTAGTTACCTGATGTGCGCTACGAAACTCACTTTCTAGGCGTTTTTCAGGGCCTCGGCTCGCGGCCTAATATATGTTCAAGCAGTAGAAGTCTAGCAGCATATATATCTATGAGTGAGCGACGCATGTCCTTATCTTTGCATTAGCTTTCCTTTCTTCATAGTAACGTTTTAAACCTTATTTTAGGTTTTGTCTGCTTTCCCGAAGTTTCTGTTAATATGTCATTGTATTTATCTGGGTAAATATTGCCTTTCCTTTTGAATGAGGTTTCAAAATAAACTATGTCTATACTTATTAATCCCTTGACTTGGACCGGTTTTAAAGACACTTTCTTATCGTTAAAAATTGTCGCTTTTGCCGATTGGTTGTTACCGATGGAATGGTTTTTATACTCATAAAATGATGGGAGAACTTACAGCGCTCATCCTGTCCCCGTAGATGGGGGTGACTTGGTCCCGCAGTAGCTTGCCCCGGTTGTCAAAATGACCACGCGCCGCCACTGGCATCGCCCAATAGAACTAGCATCGGTTCAAAATGAGTACACAGAACGCTATAATTTCCGTTGACCTAATGCAAAATTACGCCGACGAGTTCACAACTTCTCAGTACGTCATCAACGGGACATACTAATTTGCGTTCGATTTCTGCAGGGTTGACCATTAAAAATTAGACTCTCGCAAACGGAGTCCACTTTATGCAAACGGTAAACGCCAAAAATCGTATAAAAAATTATATAGTATCAAATTTGCCACAAAATTGTTTGCGTGGTAATCCACCTTCAAATAGAATTTATCCTGTTTTAATTAGGAATCAGAAAAATTGCCAGTAACATTTTTTTGCTAGAGTACTATGCAATTTATTTTCGGTGTGTCATATATGATACATTGGACTACAATGTAGACTATGTTTTTCGATATTTTTGTGTTATCCTGTAATTTCAAAAATAGACTTGTCAAATGACTGTGTTTTGTCTTCCGGCTGCCTCATATCAGTTTTCACGTGTCCTCACTGGGCTACGGTCAAATATGAATCTCCTTCTTCATGTTCGGTCTTCATCAGAAAATGTCACGTACCAATAATCTAGGGGAAATTAGATTTTTACTTCTAGTGCCTTCTCCGCATACATTTTTTTGCGTTCTGACTTCATGTTTTATATTATTGATAAGTAGATTCCCGTGGTTAATGGCGCAGTAACGGTGATATTGACGATGACGGAAGCGAAAGAGATGATTAAATCCTTAATTAACCAAAACGTTTGCAGTAATTGTTTTTCTTGCGATAAATTCTGACAGAGTTAAAGATGATGACTCCAGCAAAATGCCGCAAATTCGATTTTGCATTGCATCCATGTTGCATTTTTTTTTGCAGTCAGGCAAAAAAACTCTCTAAGTGGTGCTTCTCGGCCAAAGCTCGTTAGACAATATCTAGATACCGATGCCCAAAGAATAAGGTGCATTGGTAACCAATATATATATTGAAAACCGTGAAGAGTGGAATTAATCAGAAAAAGCATTATATATAATAGTAATCGCATGTTATATATATATATATATATTTGAAAATAGCTTTAATTGATTCAAGAATTATAAAGAAACGAATTTTATATTAATTTACCTTTAAAGCCCAAATGGTCATTCATTCGTAAGGATGGGAATTTCCTGATTTAAACCCAAGAAGATGATCATACGGAACAATAATTCGGTTAATCTAAATTGTAAATACCACAACAAGGCGACCAGGTTGTTGGCCAAGATAAGATAAAGCCATTAGTACAAATCACAAGCTTCAGTAAGTCTTCAATATATATATGGTACTAAATCAGCGACATTACCTCTCCGATTCCTATAGAATGGCATCAAAAACTGAGTAGCCTACAGACACATGGAATTTGTGCAGTAATACTTTGCAAGTATGTATACAATATCGCCTGTAACTTTCTATTAATGAATGGTAATTGGTAATGGTAACAGGCAAAACACATTAAGGTTTTTATGAATTTTTGAAATACCTCAAAATGCTGTCATTGTTTTCGATAATACCAATTGTGCATGATATTTCCGTGACAATTTGACATCGAGTAAACCACCTAGCAAACGAATTCGGAACTCTTTGGATGCACTTGGACTGTAGAATTAGTTAACTATAGTCTATTGTACAAGACATTTCTGAAATATTCGAAAAAGATGGGAGTAAGCTAATCGGTCTACAGTTTTAACGTTTTTCATGACTTCGCCCGCGGTACTAGTTTAGTTGATTTATCAATAAATTGGCCTGATTGCAAAGTAGAATTAAAACATCAACATGCAGTTCCATGGCATTGCTCTCGTATCCTTGTTTGGTATTCCATTGAGCCCACAACTAGTTTTAGGTATGAAAGCTCGAATAATAGTGCGAATTCCAGTTGCTGATGGAGGTAAACATTGGTGAGCTAATGGATTTGCTCATATTCCTGAAAATTACCGTTGTTAACATTTATGAATTCCTCCACCATTCTCATCGTGGAGCAATGTTCATTGAAATGATTAGCTACCGGTATAAACACAACATCATTGAGGCTGGGAATGGTTGACCGGTTAACCGATTTTAGATGGTTAACGGTTACGATTTATATCAACCGTTAACTGACATCTCAGGTACAAATCACCTTAATAATGTACAATTCCTTCCAAAAATGATTACGTCATCACAAATTGTCTTCTGTGTCGTTTAATTCAAAAGAATATCACTAACTGTAAATATATAATTGAAGTACCAAGATTGCTGATTATACAAAATTTGACAATGATAAATTCGAAATCAGTTTGCGGTCGAAATATATTGTTCACGATTTTATTGCAAAATCGTATATTCAATGTCACCCAACAAATACGCAGTTGATTTTTTTTTCTTTATGATATCTCAAAGTATAATTTGCACATGGAACACTGAAAATTTGTTTAATTGACATTTAATAACGGAATCGGGTTTTACTAAAATACTACCATATGGTCGAACTACGCTGCATATCTCTTTCTTGCAGCAGAGCGATCATGAAACTATCTCGATTCGTGCATAATTTTGAGCGATACCGGGATAAGATCCAGCAAAGTTTTATTGTAGCCATTGTGACGCAACAAGCTAAAATTATAAATTATTACGTAAAACGTGACGCCGCGTTTAACTGGTTAATTTTATTCGGTTAACGGTTGAAGTGTGTTCCTTGAAATTTCCAGCCCTAAACATCACACGTTTCCTGATTCCATACAAAGAATAACACCTAAGATTTGCGTCAACCAATCAGCGTATTCATTGTTAGCCATGAACGACTTTTTCAGATCGTTTTTAGTTTTGTTCAAGAGCGACATGTAAAGAGAATGATTATATTTGCATATTTTTTAGCCGGTTCTGTTACAAACAGAATATTGACAGTAACCAGTAATGCTAACCGGTTCGCTGATCTCATAAAATTCCGTGAGATGGTTTATAGAACCGGTTGAATCCCACCACTGAGTACAAGGCTCGGCGGTGTGGCGCATCGTGCTAAGCGTTAGGAATACGCTCGCCACCGCATCTCTGATTACGCTTTGTGGGATCGCAGATTCGAATCTTATGCGGGGATGATTATGTGCGAGAGGATTGCTGGACTCCTCGCCGCCGTAGGGTGGTTCACGTAACCGCTGGTCGGTACGGCTTCCTCCACCATCAAGTCCATGCTTCCGAAAACAAATAACTGGCTAACTAATCCCATACCTGACCTGGTAACCGGACGAGAGGCCGTGGTTCGCCATATGATTAAGCCGTCTTATCGGCTTCTCCCTCCCCCGGGATAAATATGTAAATCCCATCCTATTCCGAGAATGTCGCGATTTTTCGATGTATATAAACGAGTGCGGTACCAAATAACCATAACAGTCGAACATGATCCAATAGTGTTTATGCTTTGCAAATGATGCCGGCCTTCAACACATTTTTGCGAGGGTAAGTATTTATTCAAACTCGGCGCCCGGCGGTGTGGCGCACCGTGCCAAGCGTTAGGGATACGCTTGCCACCGCGTATTTGATTACCCTTTGTGGGGAGATAATTAAGTGCGAGAGGATTGCGACTCCTCGCCGCCGTACGGTGGTATATGTAAGCGCTGGTGAGTTATGGTTTCCTCCACCATCCAAGTCCATGCATTTGAAAACAAAATACCTGGCTAACCATCTCCCATACCCGACATAAACTGGTGACGGGACGATAGGCCGTGGTTTTCCATATAACTAACCAGTCTTTTTTCTCCCCCGGGATAAACACGTCCTATCCAAACGTAAATTCGTCGCAGTCTTTTTCATTCAGGAAAAGAGATAATTACGGATCAATCTTTTAACACAGTGATGTTGCACCCAGCTGTGGCTACCTGATGTGATGTTTGCGAAAACAAGGTGGTGCAGATTGTACATCGCAGACAAGCCGAGATACCGACCCTGTTATTGATGAAAAGACTTCGGTTTGCGTATGATGGGTAAACAAACCTTCCTTCCTTGTCAAATGACTCAAAATGACATGCATAAATTTTTTTGTTCTCAAAATTATCAGAAAACAAATATAAAATCCGACAAGTTAGACATATATAACTAATTACACAGAAATATAAATTTTGTTAAAAAAAACAATAAAACCTGCAGAAATAGTTTTGCTCTTAAAATTATCTTCAGTATAATATGCACACAAATAAAATTGCCATATTGAAATTTTTCAAATCACTAGTAAAAAAAAACTGAAGGCATAGATTGGATAAGATAATAATAATATGTATATACAAGATGTATCACTTTTACAGTAACATATCTCTGGCATTTTGTTTGCTGCTCAGTCCTAAGAGTCCGTGTAATTACTAAATCCATACATGAGTTGTACAAATTTCTTCAACTATGTTGTATTCTGAGGCATGATCAAATGATGCTTTCTTTTATTTTTAAAAATTTTTGGTCACTTTCGACCTATTTTTGAATCAGGTGTGCGATTTTGTAATTGAATTACAATCTAATGAAAAAACATTCCGATCTTGTAAATTACCAACAACTTGAACAGTTAATTCAGTCTAGTTCACTTTCTTCTCTGCTCCATAACTTGATGAAGAACTCGACACAGCACCTTGAGCCATGATTTTTTTGAAGATAAATGATACTGAAAAGAAGGTCATACAATTTCAAAAAACGAATAAGTTGCCGGAATTTGGGAAGTTTATGAAATTCAGGATTTCCAACAAAATTTTCATGGGCTACATCATTACAAATTTATATGGAGTCAGCAATAACACGAAAAATAACATGAAAGTTGTGTAGAATTGAACACTTAAAGGTGGAGAAAGACGCAAACAATTATGTCTAATGAAACTAGACTGGATTTTTTGACAGGCTTTAACATGACTTTGTCAGGTTTACCTTATAATTTAAAATATACCACACATCATAGACCTGCAGCCAGCATTCTATGACATAGGCTTGCACGTAATTGACAAAAATCAATTCCGTAATTACAGCAAAATCAATTACGTAATGACCCCGTAATTGCGATATTTTTTCACGCATTTAAACCTATCGTAACAACCAATTGAATCCACTTCTTTTCCGAATGGGACATTGAAGTTGGGTTTTCATATTCTTGGCAGTACTACACGCCGGCGGCAGATGTTAAAGACAGATATCAAGGAGTGAATTTAAATTAATTTTATTCTGATTTTTATCTTTTGTGTTAGCTTTGGTTTTCCTCTATCACCTTCGCAAATTAACCGTCCCATTTTTATGCGATCAATTTTATTTTATCATTACCGACACTGGTATACGGATATTTATGGAAACGATAGTTTTTTAAAACCACCTTAGTACTGAATAAAAATTACGGGTTTCTAATTTATTAACCAACACGAGCGTATTCTCTCGTTTGATTATACTTGCGATTTCCTCGCGACGAAGACTTGTTTTTGCAGCGTCTTCTGCATTATCCGACATTACTGCCTTGTTAGCATTTTATAATGATAATTATTGATGTCGACTTATTGACGATATTCCGATTACCATGCTTCATTCTACATTTAATCATTTCGCGGACTGAATGTTTATAACATTATTTGCGATAAATTTAGATCAAATATTATTTATTTGCGTATATTAAATACCGAACTTATATGATATGCCTTCTCCGAAAATACAAAGTTATATCGCAAAACAATGCATTTTGTGACATTTATTTTACACTCACGACATTTATTTGCTAACTCAAGTCGGCGATCCTATCGGCCAAGATTGACACAAGTTTGGTCGAGTGCCGGTGGTATTCAAGTCGACGATAAATCAAAATAAGTTGCCGCATTTGGTAAGACAGTTAATCATATATGGCCGAAATACTGAGAGGAATTGTGAAAAACATCATGAGCAAGGCCAAGTCCGGACTGATATATAACAATAAAACCTTCAACAGAACATCAATTTTTTGTAATAGAAAATGGATCTCGCACAGAATAAACACACTGGCTCATATTTGATTATATATGATAACAGTTAAAATTTTAGCGGTCCGCGAGGAATTCGTCGTTTTGTTGTTTCTCTGCCGTCTCAATCGCTTTACCGATGCCGAGAAGACGAAGTTGCGTTGGTTCATTACGCAATCTCTCTTTAGTCGTCATATTGCTATTTGATAAGCGCGACATTGATTATCACGGCGAGGTATTGGCGCGAGTGATCATTCGCTCTTTTTGTTTATTTGGTTCCAATTCGTCGCGAAAGCTCTTCGTTAAATTTCACAAGATCGTCGTGATGAAAGGTTATGGATATTTTCCTGTTTATACCCCAAGTCTGAAATAAAACAGTATGATATTCCATGTTCATATATCAAGTGTTGATATTAACAATAAAGAATGGTTAAGCATTGCTAATCCACACTTTGTGGGGAATTTCCCACTATTCCCCGCGTGACTATAAAATAGAATAAAATAGAAACGGAACATATATACCATAAGTAACGGAAAACTGGAACAAGTAAATAAAAAATAAAAGTAAAATGGATACAAATGTTTGATAGACCATGTTTGATAGATTGATCTCCTGCGTTCATTAGTCATTTCACCCGAAGAAGTTGAAACCGGGCGTGTTAGCGTCCATCGGTCTTAACACAATTCTTCCCCCTATCTACGGTTATTATGTACATTGGCCATGGCCAAGCTAGATGAGATGCGAGAGAAGTTAAAACCAGGTGTGTTGGCGTCAAATGGCCCTACTCAAGTTCTTCCCCCTTAACTACGTTAATAATTTACATTGGCCATGCCAGATAATTTGATAATAGGTTAGTAAATGGCAACGCGTCATGCCTTCCTTCACCTACGTAACAAGAGAGAGAAAAGAGAAATAAACGGCTGCGAATACCGGAACTCTAACTTCTTCTACTTGTGGAGCTTTCATTTTGCGCAATCGACGAAATTGACTGCTTTGAAGAAAGCTCTTTTCAATGCAATAATTACGACTTTACGTAATTCGTAACTTCCCTTCCGTAACTCCAAATAATTACGTAATTCCGTAAATTACGTGCAAAACATGTCCTACAATTCTAAAATCGAATAAGTGGAATAACAGAAGAGCTGGATGTTTTGACATAAGTTAAGGTGGCATCGGTAACACAAATGCAGAAGATTCAAAACCAGAAATTGGCACCGAAAGAGAAGAACCAATCAGTCAAACACTTCCATCTCAAAGTACTACATGAATCAAATGAAACATATTCCATTCTCATTTTTTCATTTATTTGCTCCTACAACACATAATGCAATCAATTTTGATAGGGAAATTGAGGTAGCAGGGTGGATGGCGTTTTGACACGCTAATTCTGAGTTAACTCTCCACACATTTTATTTCACAACATCACTTACCTATTAATAGCACTACACCTATGGCTGCAACTTGAAATAAAGCACCATTAATAAGAAGTGTCCAAATGTAATAGAAAAGTGGAGAGAGAACAAGGACCATCCATGATATAGCAATCCATAAGCATTCAGCCCTTCTTGGACAGTCACAAGCGGTAAACCTAAACAAAAATGCAATTCTGTAAAGATCAATTAATGTAAAAATTCAAACAGATGACCATTTTCAACTAAGGGCACTCATGAAAATTTCATCAAAAACCCACTCAAGCATCAGGCAACAAGATTGCAATTTGCTTAAAATAGGAGCAGTTTTCAGTATATACTTTTCTTCATGATTGAATCTACTGGTACAATTTGTTATTATTTTCGTTGTACACATTCAGATTTCTCTACACACTCCGGAATAAATCATTTTACGTTGAATGACTGAACTAACAAACATTGCATTTGAAGGAATTACAAAACTGTGCATACACTGTAGCATTTATCAATCTGAATAAGATAAAAAGTTAATACCCTTGCAATCTGTTTCCTTCCCCTCCATCAGTAATGGGAAATCCATTGAATTTTGTACAGTGATCAAAGTCACAGTCCTAAAAATAGATAAATGGGTCATATATACTAAAATAAGCTCATTGCCATACCCAGAAATTTGTTGAGGGGGGAATTAATAATTGAAAATAACAAGAACTAGAATTTGAAAAGATTTTGGGAACTCAATGCCATAATAAAGTCATGGCAACAATTACCAGTTGCTGGTTCTGCATCAGAATTAATTGTCAAAATTCTTAGAAGAGTAACATTGGGAAACATCCCAAGTTAAAATGCCCAAATGATTTTGAATAATCGTTCCTGATTTAATGCTGCTGTTCTTTTACTTTTTGTGCCTCCCAGTGTATGTTCATTGGGCTCGCTACATTTTAAACCTCTTCTAATTCCCAGATATTTTTTTTTATTTAATCTTTTTTCGGAGCTAAAATAATCTAGGTCTACATCAAACCTTTTTATAGTACATCTCATGCAAATAAGCTGCACATCCTTCGTCATCATCAGGTACTTCTTCAAGAGGAACACGTCTGTTATAGAAAACCTAATTAACAACAGTTTGAGGTGTGAGGTACTGTGTGAGATATTAGTATGAAGTGTGTTTTATTTATTTCAGCAAAAGACATTTGTTTTAATCTAATTAGCAGAGAAGCCTTCTGTGACTACTACCAAGAATTTAATTAATGAAGTAATGTCGAGATGCTTTCCACAGCATCACTGGTTCAAATCCGTTATGAGATATATAATATTGATAATTGCTCCAACCTCCAATATTGGTTCATGTGAAAGGCAGAAGACTAAGAGGCAGGTTTGCTGTATATTTAAAAAAAGATACTAATTCACAACAATGTTAAACTTTAGTTTAAAACTATCAAACCTTACATGACCAAGAAGTCAATATCAAAAGATTTCCCATGAAGCAAGTCAATAAGCGTTGGTGTTTTATTGTCTCTTACGTATATTGTAGAGTCATACACACATGATGCTATAAATACAAAAGATTTTTATTGATTAGTAAATTGAACAGCTATAATTATATGGACTGATAACTCAGACTACAAGAACCCCTTTTCACTATCAACCTTTCATATAAACTTATATACCAGTGGATGTAGACAAATATGTTAGGCAAAAAACGTTAAATAACCATTTTGGAATCTATGCATTTATTTAATACTATCTAATTATTCTACTCTAATTAGTCTTATATCAAACTCTTTATGAATAACATCACTCTTGCTATGCTCACTGAAATTCATTCAGTGCAAATTTATGAAATTATTAACAGCATTAGGAATTATTTATTTTATTGTTACAAGGTACCACTTTATCAGAACTGTCAACATTGTTTGACACAAAGATGGACTTTGAACCAAAACTGCACTGTAATCAATTTAGTTTATGATGGATTATGTTTTATAGCATAGGTACATTACATGATGGCTTCATCTGTGTCATAAATCATATCATATTTCTGAACATTGTTTTCATAATGCAGTTTAGGCTGGTGCTTTATGGCAATGGTTATTACCACTCTGAAAGTCTATACAAAATATAATTGCTGTAGGAGAACAGATATGCACATAATGAGAATTGTAAAATTTGACCGTATCTCAATAAAGCTGTGAAAAACAGTAGTCTGTTAATAAGGGAAATGTTCTACTGTTGCATTACACATCAGGATTTTAATCTATCCAGATATTCCAATAATAGATGTTCCAATAATAGACTTTGTTCAGAAGAAAAATGCATTTTATGATAAACAAATCGTGTCAATGACTTTCAATAGCACAATGGTTCACTATGAAAAGGTGCTATGATATGAATGATTCAATGTATTTGACAAAAACATTGAGAACAAAGATTTTCATTTAATAGTTTAATAGCTTTTCGCAGGCCAATTCCTTCAGCCAAAATCTAAACACAGGAATGAGTATGAATGACAGAATCACAGAAAGTGTTAATATTTCAGGACCAAAATGCTATTGCATGCATATTGAACTGATGAAACAAAGTCGGAATCCTCCTTGATGAATTGGAATTTACAACATATTATTGCGCTGCTCCAACAGAATCACTCCATGTGTGACCTTCACTGTTCATTTATGGATAGATTTTGGGAAGAGTTCAAATTGTATTGAACATTGAGACCTTGGGATTCTCATTTCAAGTTATGCTTAATCAAACTGTAAAGAATAGTTAAGCCAGTCAATTTCAGCCAGGTACAACGTTAGAAACAATTTTCACCTACCACTGCTTCTCAATCCCTGCGTCATCATTCTGAAACCCCTTGTTCTTGGTAACAAATGGTGTTTCAATGGTTTCAAGCCTTTCTTTTCTGCAATTTCCATACTTAATTTAAATTTCTTTTCTGTATAACGCGTTCCTTCACAGAATATCAACATCTGAAAAAGAGACAAATAGAAAATGTTCACACTGAATCATAGAAATATAAAGCGTGAATACACAGAGATTTACTTGGAGTTACTATCCAAATTTAGTTAAATTTTATCCATAAAACATATAGTATAAATTTATTAATAAAACTTTTAAATTTTATGTATCAAAATTACTTTTTTCTCAACAATAACCAATGGAAATGTAATTCAAAAATGGTGTTATGTTTACAGAGTAAAACAGTTTGAGATATTACAGAAAATGAAGTGCCAAAAGTGATAGTCGGCCATTACTGCACGTGAGTAAAGTCATCGATGCATATATGAGTAATATAGGTGTCATAGTCATAATCGAACCATTCACACAACCTTCCATAATACGGAGGTCAAAAATTGTATTCTTTGCAACAACAGGTGTCATTCATCTTCGTTGTAGTTTAAATAATATAATTTGCTTGAATTGAAATTATAAAAATGGTAATGCTGTTAGATTTTTACACATCCTAGCATTCTGGAATTTTTTCTCAAGCAAGAGTGCCGTCATGAAATCACAAATAATTTATATACCCAGTAATAGTGTTTGAACTCCTTAAGTGTTTCCATGGCCTTCAATATAGTCTTCGTATCATTTTCCAAATTTCTTTTCACAAAAATATATTCACAAAATCTCCAAGACCATCCAAGAAGTGGAACGTATGATAGAGCTTTCTTTGCCATGCATTTAGCATTCTATACATTCATAATAAATTGAAATAAAATTATTTGAGGCAATTATCAACCAGGGTGTCAAACTATAAAGTGTGAAACTGTGAACTGTGAAAAATGACAAAATACTTAATCATTTAATTATCTTACCCCTAATATCTTGACTCTGTCTCCAACTACCCATCCTACGACCCAGTCCATATCATATTTATGATTCAATACAACAATTCCACTCTCTTTGTTCACTTTTCGAAAATCATCAGGCTTCATATACAAGGTAACTTTAACACCGGCCCACCATTCAGACAAAAATGGAATCACTTTGAAAAAATAAAATGATTTATTTTATAAAATAATTAATGTTGTTTAGCATAGTTTTAAACCAACAATAATCACTCTACTATAACTTATATTATGTGCTTGAAATTATGATTTTATAAGTATAAAAAAAGAGAAAAGTATGCTCACATGCCCAATGTAAATAAGCCAATCTTATATTCAATGTCCGATATAAATCCTTATTCCCAATCCACCATACTATCATTGTCATTGCTTGAAGAATGTTAACAATTAGTCCGCTTACAACGAATACAAAAGCAAGAAGTACATGAACCAACGAATTGGATTTGATAGAAGCAATGAATCCAGGCGACTCATTGTTTGGTCCCACCTTCATTTTGCTCAACACTAGATCTTGCACTACTACTCTCTAACAAAACAATAATGAGACAAAGAACAACACAAAATTTCAATTCGTTTATAAAATTATCAACAGTGGCTGGAGATGGGTGTCCAAACTGTACTAATGACTAATGATATATCATAAACGTATTCCTGCATTCTGACTAAATATTTTTAAATGCATACGAAATGTCCGAAGTTTATCAAATTTGGTTATATTTTCAAAAAAAATACGCAGAAATCAATATAAATTAATTGAAATTTAATTTAAAAGTTAGTTGAAATAAACATTGTTTTATATTTTTTCCAGTCAGAAGTTAAAAGAATCATTTTATTGTCTGACCATCAGATGTCAATTGCTTAAAACAGTAAAATGACAAATCCCATATATATTATGTCCAAATATTCTGCATTATTCCTAAAATTGAAGACTTGTTATAAAAATATCTTCAATTTCTAGTGTGTTTGAATATTCAGTTCACATATTTGGATTTTCCTGTGGTGAAATATAGAATTTTTACTAGACCTATGTCTAAACTTCAACGAACTGACACAAAACCATTTATTTATATCCAGTATTGGAGAGACTCGAGTAATCTCAGCAAACAGACTTTACTTCAGTACTTGTCTATCTACCAGAGGCTTGACTCGAGATTCAAAAAAATATTTGGGGTGAAAAACAATCTGACAATTCACCATGTACCCGATACTGTATCTAAAATATTTATTTTTGGTCTAAAGTACTGTATGCTTTTGTCTATTTTCCTCATTTCTGCATTTGGTTGAAAAAATTTGAACTATGCATTACCCTCAAAACATTCTATGCCAGTCTTATGCTGATGATATAAAGTCTGAATACAGAAATAGGTTAAGTTTATTTTGATTAGACTACCCTTTCGATCAAACATGTCCAATTTTAATTGCAGAATTGAAATGCCAGAATGCAAATGACTGAATGTTCATTTACGCTTACAGCCTACATTGCAACAGAAACCAAGGTTATTACTGTATTACAGTAGTGGACAATCAAAAAGCTGGTTTAACTGCAAATTAGGGTGTCATTTGCACACAATACTAGGCTACACTAGAAGCATTGTCGCCATATTTCACTTCTGTCTCTACTGGCAGACTGGTATGCAACAATTACAACCTTTCTTGATAGGCCAGAAACAATTGATATGGAATAACAATGCTGCAAACTACAATTCGACTAAACTAAATATAAAAGTAACAGAATGACAT